CTAATGGATCTATTTTTGTATGACTGTGCGTTAAACCGACTTAGTGAAGGAATCTCATAAGCTCCCACACCTCCGAACATAAAGATAACGGCAGAGAACCAGATCTCGCCTGAGTCTTTCTTTATAGAAATTCAATTCCACTATGTGATGGAAGTGCTATTCAAAGGAGTTTGTATGGTCCATCGAAGGAGCATCGTGAAATTCAACAGTACACCATCGAGGTTTAATGAGATTGCCGGGCTATAGAGCTGCGATCCGTTACATTTCTCATGAGGTCTTTGTTTTAATGCTTGGGTAATATCATTTTACAGGATGTTAGATTGAAATTTTCATATGCAGGATTTACTATAGATTACCATAGACCATGTCACCGTTTTTCATTATAAAGTTCTTCACTTCCGTAATTGTTCAGGAAAGTTAAAAATCGAAGCTTAAATGTGCGGTCAAATTTCCGGTTTTGAACTGACGATTTTGATTACTAATAGATCTTTTATTAATCGAAATCAAGTTCTTTTAATACATATTAGAAAGGTTTCTATTTGATGAAGTGATCTAGTTATAAATTCATCTAATATAATGTCTCAGGCCCATTATACTTTGAAAACTATTCGAGAATTTTTTCATGGATAACCATTTTTCTTTATTGCTCAAATGAAACCATTAAACTACTTTGTATTATATTGGCTTCAGTCAAATGCAGTACCATGACACACAAGTTTCACTCATCGGTGTAGGGGGGTGACTCTAATACAGGCACAATGACTTTAAATGATACGAGTCGAGCGCAGGTTCTGGGCCTCTAATACATGCCATGAAGCCAACAAATGATTCATACAACCGCTTGTATAGCTAAAGAGAGGAGCGCCGTGAGAGTGAACTCCAGTGTAATTTGCGACACGATATGACAGGGCAGCAAGTGCACCAGAGTGTCTCAAAAATGTTCCAGCCGAGTGATATTCCAGCTATTCCAGTCGATATGGTCTATAAAATTGCAGCATAGGCTAAGAATTAGACTTCACCGCTTTTATTCGTTGGTTTGCCCTAAATACGTTGTGTTATTCTTATTGTAGTGTAATTGGTCGCATTAAAATATTTTGAGAAAATTCATGATTTAAAAAATTTAAATCAGTTTCACTTTATTTTGTGGGGCTCCATTTAATTTTTACTGTTCACGACGGCTTTAGGTTTGATAGTAATTATAAAACCCTCTAATTATAAATGAAAATCATTTAGCTTTAATTAGAGGAGCTTTAGCTAGAAAATTAGAGCTTTAGCCAGAAAATCATTTTTAGCATTTTGTACTTCACTTGCAAAAAATAATTTAGTGCTCCAGTCAGAGTTATAAATTTCTAACCATTTAGAAGCGGCGCTGAGCTAAGCATCTTGTCGTTGCTCGTAGACATGAAGACCTTCTTCCACTCAGCGAGCGGCCGGGAATTAGTATCGAATCCTGAAAACTTTGTCGATCGCTTACGCCGGGCTTTTAGATAAACCGATGAGAAATTTCCAATACAATAAGGCTGGCAATATTTCTAGCCAACGTCAGAGTAGACTTGGGATGCGCATCAGGCCTTCAGTGGCTGAAGAGAATAGCTTTTGTCTATGTAGTTCCACTCGCTCGGTATGCACGCTAAAAGATCTACTGTTAGATATTCAAATTGCCTCCTGGAGAGCTTTCGCTAGATCGACTAACAGGGCCTAGCTCGAATAAATTCAAGCTTCCTAGGATAAATTTGTGAGCGTGCAATCGGGAAAAGTATGTTCGCCAGAGTCATTTAGACTCCTTAAGATTTTGATGAATAATGAAAATGGTCAGCCATTTGTCCTAATTTTAATTGTAAAAAGAGTAACTTCGTAAGGCTGCAACATTGATTTGAACTTATCAATTATGTAAAGATACATTTTTGGAACGATTCGGCATTAAATCATTTTTTAATCATGATTTTTTTTGGCTTTTTTAATCCTGCTTTAATATCGTAATTTTTCGGCTGAATTGGAATTGTTGTTGTGTGGTTGCTGCTGCTATGATATTTTCAGCTTATGAAACATCGAAGTTCAATTTTCATATGAATACACGCATTTTAAAGTAGTCGTCTGCTGTAAAATCAAAGCTAAATTCTTAGAATTATTTCTAAAATCATCGTGTCTATGCATCTTTGTATCCATCCATTTGTACAGACATGTCAATTTCAACGACTTTAAACTTCGATTCACTGACATAGTCTGTACTCAGCATCATTACAGTGCAGGATTCATCTTAGGAGCATGGCATTAGCGACACGAAAGTAGAGAAAGACATTAAGACTGTAATGTCCCTTTTCTTGTCACATTTGTCAGGAAAATTGTCATTTGATTGCCGTCGCCGCATCTAAATTGGTCATACGACTCAAAAGAAGCCCTGGATCTCCTTGCCTACTTGGCTAAAATCTTCGGGACACTTGGGAAGTATTTTATTCTTTCAGGGACTCTGGGACGTAGTTTTTCGATCCTCTAATTGTTTGGTCGCGCGCCTTACTTGAACGAATCCTCACGCTACGGTATTTCTAGTCAACTACACGTGACCAGTTTATCTGGCAATCGTTCAAGCGATTGGTTGCGAACATTGGCGAGTGCACGGTGATTTGAGAGCAAAATATTTTTGAATTTCTAGGTCCGCAAAGATTTTGAAAAAAAAAATAACAAAAAATTATTAAATTTAGCCATTATTTTCGCAATATCATAAGAAAGTAAAGTGTTGTAATGTTAATGGAGTTGACAATAGCCTAAAATTCCATAAGGATTTACTATTGAATCAATTCTTTTCATAAAAAACGATTGAAGGTTAATTTTTAATGTTTTGTAAATATATCACTGAAACTTTTCCCTCGTTGCATGTTCCACTCAGAGTTACAGGATATAAAATGAGCATTTCACTTGCTCAGGCATCACTCGACTCAGCGTTGTCTTACCAACAGCGGTGTCTTACCTAGAGAAAAAATTTGTACAAGAATTTTTTAAAAGACCATAGTGTGAGTCGGTAAGATAGAAATCATTCTTAGATCTATTTTATTTATTTCAGGTCATATTGGTTCGATTTCATAGGTGATTTTATGCTAATTTAATCTTGGAAAGTTGATGTAGCTGGGTTCAGCATAAACGGAAGTACAGTATATGGCTGATAATATATGCAACACATTTTATTTATGTTATTTAAATTGTTTGACGTTTGACCATTATTGCTTTTGCATTTTTTTTCTCAAAGAGTCGCGAGAAATCAATCCTGATCCTAAAACGTGAAAATTCCGGACTGCAGATTGGTGAGCTTAGTCCCTTACAAGTTTTTAAGCGTTTAGTTCTGATGATATTGTATTAGGAGGCATTATTTAGAAAAGAAATATAACGGCAAGGTGACCGAGTGACTAACGTTAAGATTAATTAAAATTAATTACTTGTTCCAGCTAGCTCTGGAACTCCGGGTCGAGATCAGGGAGCTGGCCGGGTGGAACAAAAATAGATTAGTGAGTTACGGGTTCAAAGCTGCCGCGAACTGCAAAATTATGCAAAATTTAGAATCGGCGTAGGTACAGTGATGTTAAAATCAACACTGTCGCTGATATTGCTATTAATATTCTTATTACTACTTCGCATTTCTTAACACTTGGAACCTCAAGCACTGTGATAGCATAGGAAGGTCCTTCTGTCTTAGACATTGTAAAACAGAGGGGTTAAGAGATTTCAAAAGTTTGAAGTAGTTTTCGCTTAGGTAATATCAAAGTTGCAAACATTCAAATTTTTCCTGTATTACGGTTTCTCCCGCTAGTATCACAAAGGCTTTTGACCGTGTTTCGTGATCAGTCAGATGGTAGAGATAATTTTTTTCAACTTCTGGAAATTTATAAAGCGAGATCGTATAAAGATATTTGTTGCTTTAATGGAGGCACCATTAAAAAAGGCACCTACCACAGAAACGATATGCATATTGCATTCGGCGCGTTTGATTCCTTCGAACACTGCGCACTCACTGCAAAAGATGTCACTGAACATTTCTTTGCTGAACATTTCTTTGAACATTTCTTGACAGCCGACAAAAATGTCTTTGCAGTACCACTTACGAATTGCCGTCGATATTTTCGGCAAAAGAGTAGCCGCTAATATAAATTTCCTCATTCTTATGATTAAACAGTGAAAGGCAAATTGAAAAGGAAATTATGTCTTTTGCATAATATGTTTTGAGATATGTACTGTTTGAACTCACTATAGTCTGAATAATAGTAATTAGGATAATTTTTGAACAATGCGCACGATGCCCTGAATATAATTATGCAAATCAAATGCGTCAAATAAGTCTCATTTCACGTAGAAATTGTTTCATTTTCAGTGGCTGGAACATTTTTGTGTTGTATTGATAGCCTTTCCTTAGCTTATTTGCCATATTTTTTCGCGATGCAATTTGTATTTGCGAAAAATTACCAAATTGTTGCTTAATAAATTATCAGAATGTAACCACCTGGAGTGGTTCGTTTAGCCAGTTTTATTTAATTTACAAATGGCATTGTTCTGGATTATTCATCTAGTTTTGATGCTCGTCACAGGAGAATGGAAATTAATTCTAGTGTCCAGCAGTAAATCAAAGGGATAGCTTAAAAAAATAATTCAAGCCACGCCTTTTATTCGCACATCACAACGAATTATCAACCAAGTATTCAATTACAATTTATATTGGCTTACAGACAGCCTTAGCTTATTAACATAACATATTGCAGACAGCCTTGGCTTATTAACATAACATATTGCAGACTGACTTTACTTATTTTAATTGAATTAATTAGTTTGTTGGAGATGAAATTTTATTCGGAAATCTCTGCCGAAAACCGCTAATATGAAAAAAAAACTAAAAAATATCAGCTGTAGGATGATCATAGAAAGATGGGTCAAAACCCTTAGTGCAAGTATAAATAATACAACACGTGCGACAAATAAACTCATAGAAAAAGAATAAAACTCATGATAAATCTCAAAAATAGAAAAAAAGCTTAACGTAAAATCTTATATAAACTAATTTATTTTTATTAGTGAGGAAACGCAACTTCCAGTAGACTGAAATCTCAATATTAAAGCTCAAATAATTATTGCCCTGACTGAACATTTCCATGAATTTTTCAAGATTAATTAAGATGAGCACTGCATTAACGAATAAATTTGTTGATGGTTCAATAATTTTTTTTCCAAGATCAAGCATTTTGATGACCTTCATACAGGGTTTTCTAAGTTTAATTAAACCGTGCAATTAAATGTTCATTTCATAAACTCTAGAGTGTTATTCAATTCAACATAAAAGTTTGACATTAAAAAAGACATAATTGAAAATAATTATTATAAATAATAACTGAAACATGAATAATAATTGAAACTGTAATAATATAATAGTTTGAATGATTAAAGGTGCTATATACCGTCAAAATTTTTTGCCAGTGATCTAAGTTTAAACGTGCCGGTGCATCGTATTAGCCGAGACTAAATTTTAATTTAATTGTCTCTTGTGTCGTCAGCCATGCAGCACTAAAAATATACTTGTCTGTGATCAGCCTTGCAGCACCAACAGTACGGTGCTGTTATGCTTAAGAATTATTTACAACAACCGAGGCAGCATTCCTCCTTTCAGCAGGAATTTCCTAAGTAATTATTTTACTCTCATAACGCAGCTTGTATTTTTGGATTGAGCAGTTGACCCAACTGGATCGATATTAATCTATGACTATCGCATATATCAGCAACGCAGCACTAGCACTATGCTTATGCTTGTTCAGCAACGCAGCACTAGCACTATGCTTATGCTTGTTCGGCAACGCAGCACTTGCACCAGCCGTGCCAATTGAAGCAGGTCTGCATCGGTGCTGCGTACTCCCGCTCGCCGGCACGGCACTCGGCGCGACAAATTCCTTCCTGTGACATCAATTCCACTCGGTTATCAATAATTTCAGCGGCTATTAATCACAACATTAATCTGTGCAAATGATCATAGTTTCCTAAAACTTATTTATTCCTAAGACAAAATATCACCTAAATTGCAATAAGGAACATGTTGCTTAAAAATTTGTCGTTATCTATAGGTCGCGTTCTATAAATAACATTCTCAAGGTACTTGCATTATGTGGTTGAGCAAACTTTGACAATGATTATGTTATATCCAATATAGAGTGTTGATTTTTCATTATTTTTCTCATGATATGATATTCAATAATTCCATTAATGACATTACAAACAATTAAAACCACCCTTGGATATGAAAAGGTTTAGTGTTGGGTAATCCCGAACCTACCACGTCCCGAGTGAAATTCACCCGTAACACGTTTGATTATTTTATTTATTATCACCTACAACTGAGTAGTTTAATCACCTTAGCCAACATACACTAAAGGTAGAGAAATGGCATAATCTAATCTCTAACAGCTATACATCAATTACCTAGAGTCAAATGTTTTGTCAGGTGTCAAGTTTAATTGTCAAGTGTTTGAATTTTGTCAAGTGTTGCTTCACTTGAACTTAGAACCTCAAGGTTTACGAGTTAACACTTGTGCAAGCAAGCGTCACACACATGTGCTCGTCGCTTGACCATGTTCTTAGGTGGACAGGCCACCACTCCAGTTTTTTATATTCCTAACAAAACTTGACTGCTAAAACTCCTAGTAAGACTGGATTGAATTGATGATGAACCGATTTTTAAGTGCTAGAATTTCATAGAAACATTCAAGTACCGCACACAATTTGAAAATTAGGCCTAATTGTGATCTGAATGTAAATTATCTTGAATATACAATAATGACATCAACGGTATCAATATGAATAATAAAATTACAAGGTTAAACGCACCTCGGAATCCCAGCCCTTGCATGTTGTGGGGCATTTGCCGATGTCGGGGTGAATGGGGAGCGATGGTAACGGCTCATAAGTATTGTCTGTAAGAAAATTTGTAATTATTGAGCCAGGTGTAAATATATCATGATTTTTGAAAAGATTCTTGCATAAGATTGAGAAGCCACAGAGATTGCCAAAACCATGCAAGCTCATCTACAGCCTAAACGCAGGAATACAGTGTGCATCAGAATAGAAGCATCCGATTTGGTGATTCTATCGTTTGAACGCTATTTACCGTGGACCAGTACCATTTTTTGGCTGAAAGGAACTCAACATTTTGTTACAAATTTTCCCTGCCACGTTGACCGTCAAGCAGCGCGACGCATGGCTATGAGTAATTCTGGTGGCTTGTGAAAGAATTGCGGACAGAATACCTGAATTTCTGTATCTGACGCTCTGCATGGGACGGTGGAGCGATTTGCCCTCACGCTGGCAACCTTATTCTCTGAGTTATTCAGAACTTCGGCTAATGCTTTGTGATGCGGGAGGATAAAACCATATTGTGTGCGAAATTCCCGATGAAACGTTATCACTGAAACACACTCCACCAAATTTAGAACACAAAAAGCGTTTTATATTGTTGACACCATAGAAAATAAGGTGGTGTTCCGTCGAGCATGCCACTGTTATCGAGCAAGGGCAATGTAGAGCTAGATGTTTTTGGTTTCCAAATAGTACTTTTCTACTGCATTTAGCTCAAACAAAAACATAATTATGATTTAATGAAATGGGTTAATTCCTTTTGCAACTTCTATGCCGTGTAACATGACAAATTTTTTGTGCTAACGTTCGAGAATGCTTATACTCTGACATACTGAATAATAAATTTATTTGTGAGCAGGCGTTTGTTTTACATAAATTTCTAGTTTATTTCAGATTTATTATTTGTTTCATAATTATAGTTGACTGAATTGGTTAGTAGATTATCCTACTTAGAGATACAGTCACGTAACTGATGACCAATAGTGAGTTGCATTTAAACTGGTCAATGATCGCCCTTGTGGTAATTTAATTTCTTAATTAAAAATTTTCAGATTGATCGAATATAAAAAAAAAAATAAGACTATAAATTAATAAAAACACGAAACTAAACAAATACCTTGAACCACCGAAATATTTGTATTCCTTATATTGTGAGCAATATCAACAATAATTAATAAACGTATATCTAGATAAATTAAAGTGGAGTCAATAATGCAATATATCTCACACTATAGAAGTAAATTGAAGATTATTTCTTGTAGTGTAATTCTTACTTGAATACAAGACCAAGTTTTCAATCTAGAAAACTTACGTGGATTGCTTAGCCTCATTATGGGGATTGCTTAATTAAAATATGACGTCGAAATATTAATTTATGAACCAAATAATCATGAGAAATTTATTGGAATTGCTACGACATCGCATTCGACATAGATCGTGCAATCGTGAATCTTTTTTATGTAACTAATGTCGCTAGTGTAATCCACCTTAAATTAAATCAGATAAGCAATTAAAGCGTAAAAGAGTAAGTTATTTTATGCAACTCACGCAATTCATCAGTTGAAAAGTCTCCCAAAGAAGGGAACTCACTAACTCTGGGCCATACTTCGAGTGGATGCGCCAACTTCGGCGTTTCAGGCATTTCCGGCAATTTTGGCATTTCAGGCATTTCCGGCAATTTTGGCATTTCAGGCATTTCCGGATATTTTGGCATTTCAGGCATTTCCGGCAATTTTGGCATTTCAGGCATTTCCGGCAATTTTGGCATATCAGGCATTTCCGGCAATTTTGGCATTTCTGGCACTTTCGGCATTTCCGGCGTTTCCGGCAATTTCGGCATTTCCGGTGACTTTGGCATATCAGGCATTTCCGTCAATTTCGGCATTTCAGGCCATTTCGGCGTTGAAGGGAACTGGGTTTGCTGATCGACTCTCAGATATGGCATAATTCTCTGAAATTAATTAAATAATATTAAATTATCTCCATAGATAAATGACAATCAAGAATCTGACAGAGATAGGGATAAACGGCGTTTTATTCACTTTTTTCAGTGACGACATTGTTGGAGTATTCCCACTCGCTAATAGAAATCAATAGCTTTCAGAAAAAGTTTCCAGCCATAATCTCTCTAATTTTTTCTCACGAAAGTTAAAGCAACACCTAAAAACTGCATAGAGAGTGAAATTATGCGAAATTATGCAGGGATTCTTACCATGGCCGGACGGGGCTGCAGTTGAGCGATCGCAAGGGACAGAGGCAACACCGCGAACAGGAAGAAAGTCCTCATCTTGAAGATGACGCTGATTTCCTTCTTTATTTCTGCTCAGTAATCTGTGGCGAGGATGAAACCACCTGGAAGAAAATTACAATACGTTCTAAAGCGGGTTAATTTAAGCAACGAAACTTCCAGCGTCTGCTCTTAATTTATCACATGGGAAAAAAATGGTATATTACCGCTCATCTGTCGAATGCGATCATTTTTTCATATTATGAGTTTTTTTCACTGAAATTTTTATATCATAGAGATATTCTGTGTTACTGAATAATTTTTGCTCATTCAAAATATTATATCAGTTCAAAACATTGATGCATATTCTCCTCATGATACTCAAATCATTGTAGCCATACCAACAAAGAACAGTTAATTTTCCTGTCACAGAATATAATCAGTTTTGAAACCTAACTTATATACAATGTTTTTTTGTTATACGAATGATAAATCCAAAGTTTCGACTGACCTGTACAAACGCGACGAATCTTCTTGAGACACTGCAATGCACTCTTACTAAGACCTGCCTTCGAGTCACCACTTCAGTTTATACAAGTGTGGCCGGCAACCTCCATGAACACATGAGTGTACACGTGAACAAACAAATTAACTCATTATTTACTCACCCTGCCGTCCCACATTGAAAAATTTGACCGCATCCCAAAGAGGTCAGAAAGTTCACACATTACAAGTAACATCGCGTTTGATGTACCGTACGAATCTTCGTTACAATCACCATGGCTAATGGTTTGATATTTGGTTTTGTTGTGTTTGAAAACAAAGTTGATTATCGCAGTAAACTAAGTTGTAAACAACACGTAAACAGCACACGACTTCGCTGTGTTCAGCGAATGAATCCAATTTGAATCCATTCAATGAGGAGTGGATGGAGTAAATGAATCAAAAGAAGAGCAAGTTGAGTTCACGGGTAAAAGAAATAAATGTCAAGATAAACTTAGCAGTCTGTTTCTTTTCACAAAGTATCGTGAAAATAGAATAAAGTTGGAAAAATTCATTGAGACGTTTCTTTCAAACTGGCCAGTTTAAAAGAACCTGCACGTGTTTTGTATAGCAACTAGTAAGATTATTCATGTCTGTTGCAAGGCCGTTAATAAATCGATTGAAGCCAAACGGTAGAGGCAAAATGAATTCGAGCTCGACGCAAATTCCAGAAATTTTTCCTTCTAATGATCCTGCGGAAAATATCTCTACGTCAATTTTTATCTCGACTTCTATGATCGGTCTATATTGGAAACGATAATAAATTTCACACGACTATAAGAATAAAAACAATTTCGTACCACAGAATGTAGCCCCAAATGAAGTCAATTTACTGCTAGCACTGTATTTAGGGATATGTTTAAAGCTTATTTATTAGAATGGGATCTTTATAAAATAAATTTGCAAAGAACCAACAACGATCTTCCCGAGAACTCGGGAATAAATACTGCAATTGTTTTCAAATAGTCTATGGCTGATAAAATGAGACGATAGTAGATTAATTATACATAATTAACTATACTACAATTCGAATATCGGATTAAACTGTCATTATCGATTTTTTCAAATTTTAGAGTTACCAACTCTTAATTTAGATGTCTGGGCTGCATTTCTCTTGCAATGTTAGGAAATCTTTAAGGCTTTTAATTACTGAGTTTCTTTTTCTAATCGTTGTTCTGCAGGATAAATTATACATGACATATGATATATTCATTAGTCCAAACCGATATTTTACTAATATTCAATTTTATCGACGAAAACGAATTTTTAAAATACAATATATTTTCTGCGTGATTATAATTTTTTTCACATTCATATTAGAATTTTCAAAATGAATTGGTTTTCTCGTCGTTCCACCAATAATTTAGTTTATTGAACTTGCAACATGTTCCGTTTATAGGTTATTATGTTTTCTTAAGAGTTGATCGCAAGTTTATGCGTTTCTTTCTTACGAATCATTGACGACTTCATTATTATTACCTTCATATTGTGTACAGAAAAACATATATAACGATTTTGTCATCTCTAAACCTCTTTTTAATCTTTCAAAACTTACTAATGTGGGCATGATATCCTTTGAGCAGCGTACAGAGCTCATATTTTAAATTGTTTAATCAATATCCACTTCTACCAAGTCATACGACATCAAAAGTACCGTATAAACTTAATTTCAAATTGAATTCATTGCAGGCGTTCGTTAATGCAATATTCCGCACGTGTTGTTCACGAGCGTCGTTTTTGCCACAAATTTGTAGCGCTCAGACGATGCTCATTTTGAGCTGAAACGAGCAACGATGACACAGGTGCAAGGCATCTGCTCTCATCCTCTTCATACCACGGTGGCTTCTTGCCTGCAATGAAACCGTGATGCAAAACCTGTACGGGTTTTGCATTAAAAAAACACTGAAGATTTGATGATGCACCGTGATGCAAAACCTGTTCTGGTTTTGCATCAAAAAAACATTGAAGATTTGATGATGCACCGTGATGCAAAACCTGTTAGGGTTTTCACTCGGAAAAACAGTATTTTTTTCGCTCATCTTAGCTAAATTAGGTCACGTTCATTTTCTTCAATAAAACGTTCAAGTTTACTGAATAATGATTCATATTTACTCCCAGGATATCGATAACAAGCTTTAATAATAATACAAAAACAGCTTTAAATTATTTCGTTGTGTTTTTATTAATGTATAAAATAATTATTGGCGTCTAAAATAACATTTCAAAGACAACATTTATAAAGAGGCCAGTGTCTCCGATGTTACCCATGTGCAATGAATTTCTTATTTTATCTTTAAATATTAAAAAAATATATTTTTAAACATTTTTTAATATTAAAAAAATTCTTTTTAAAATATTTATCCTGTCAATTGATTTAAGCTTTGTCTACGACTTTACGCAAATGTGCAAATTTTCAGATCGATCGGACAGGTAGAAATGTGTTAAATATCGATTTTAAGATTTGTAGCAGACAAACAAACAAACAAATAACACTTGAGAGGTGAAGTTAAAGAGAAGTGTTTTGAATAGGATAATAATATTGGCTCATTATATTCGGTTTCCGCCAAATGAAGAAGAGGTTTCATCGAATAATAGTCACCTTGACTTAAAAAATACCACTAGAGAGTCTCCGGTAATGAGATGAACAAGATTACCTATATAAAATTAAACTGACATCGCACTGATTTTACAACGTATTAATGTGTTAATTCATTCAATTTAATTTACGTTTAGATGTAATTATCCTTAACTTTCGCAATATATTCAATGATGATTATTAACGTACTAGAGACGCTCAACAAAGTGCATTAGTCATTGTACATTGGAATATTTTCGGTTGAAAATTATTACTAATTGCGCGGGCTGAAAGATTACGTCTAATTTCAAAACACATAAACACTGGACAATAAAACAAAAAGTTGTTAAATCAATTTTCATGAACTTTTATAGCATTATTTAATGATTTTCGTTGTATTTTCATGATTGTCAACACGTCTAGAATCGAAGAATAAGAGATTTTTTTAATTTCTGCCAGTATTGTAGTAATTCAATTTCTTCGGACAAAAATTCAAAGAAAAGACATTAATTCCTGCTCATGCATGAGGAAAATAGATAACAAAACCTCGCCAACCTGCAGTGATCGCGGTCTCGATAGCGGCCACAATTCCTCATGTAATTGCACATGCTGAGAGCGAATGCAATCCTGATATCAAGAGCTCAATTTACCTCAATTGTCCTCGTATGGTTGATCTCAATCCTTGCGTTGTCTATTGTTATGTACTCTACTTCATAATATAAAACTTTAATTGCGACATAAATTTACAATCTTTCCAAGGCAATTCCACTGTTGTAATCTAAACTGGGTATTTACAATTGGTATGTCATTGTCTGCACTCATTGAAAAACACTCGATGTTAGAACGCATTTTGTCACGTTATTCTATCTTAAAGGAATTACAATTCTAATTACACTTTGCACGCAAATAATTTGTCGTTTGCATTGACGAATAAAAAAGGTACTCAGTCATTCTATATTTGAAGTTTTTAAAGCGAATTTTTCGCATATACAATATTTAGTTAAAAATAATATTGTTATTTATAATAATTCGGCTGTGCGCACTCACGCCGAGCAGTGTGATGTCCCTGTTTCTGACAATGACTTTAGAGTGTTGGCTTCCACCTCCGGTACTTCAGATTGGAGCATTTTACAATCATTGTGCATTTTTAAACTTAGGCTACAATCTCCTTGAAATTGTGAATAGATTGTTTTTTTTTGTGTTCTGTCTATTCTTTGTGAATTTAGATTTTAATTTCGGTTCTGTAACTTTCAATTGTATTAATTTCCATTTCCAATTAATAATTTCCAATTCCAATTGAATTCTAGGTTCTACGAACTGTCGATGGAGCTGGACTCCTAAACGTTTTCTATAGAGATTAGAATTTATGTTAAACTTTCTTTGCTTTTAAATTTTTATTATTTCCAGCATTAGACCAACGCCATAAATATTATGAGCAAGCATATTCAAATAGGATGGTTTAATCTTGTTAGATGTTGGTTTGCCGCTCGAGGTTACCAAGGGACTACTAAAGACCGAAACCCAGACAGTTATTGCTTCCCTGAATTGGAGGCTCTCCGATGGTTTTGGTGTTGGACAATCCCTCCCCGAGTTACTGCTTATAGGCTTTGCTTCGTTGAGCTGGGACATGATTTTCGTGCAACAATGTACTGCAGTACTCGTCTAAATGTTGAGCTGGGACATGATTTTCGTGCATCAGTGTACTGCAGTACTTGTCTGAATGTGTCCAAGTTTCGTTGTTCGTTATTTTGTTGATGTACTAGAGATGTATTCCTATATCGAGGAAGAAAAAATTCTTATGCATTCCTATTATTATCAGGATTGAGGCGTTTGTGGTGCAAGATGTGAGTCTAATTTTACAGATAACTTAGGAGAGGACTTGACAAAGAAATCAGCAAATATATAAATGACAAGCCTATATATAGTAGCCTTTGAATGTATTACTGCCTTCATCGATTATCTCATCTAAATGAATCAGTTAATACGAAAAATAAAAATAAAAATATTCTCGGTCACCTCGATTATTGCGTGTAAAAATCATCAATTTTAACTAAAAATAAGTATCTAATTCAACCAAGATGTGCAACATTTCCTTAATTTACTGATCTTATTTCACGAAGCAGTTTGGAACTGATATTTAGTTTTAATTTTAGATACTCGCAGTGTATCCATTTTCCAAGTTATTTAATAAGAGAAAATAGAATTGTTGATCCCTTTCTGAGAGAGTCGTGTCACTGCCACTTCTCGTAATATCCACAGGAAAAAACACGGTTTGGAAATTTGTAGATGAAGTTTCATGCAAATTATCAAAGTTAGGGAAGTTCAGCGATATAATTCCACTGGGACGTGAAGTTAGTCCGAACGAAACCCCCTGGGAAAAATATTCCTACATTTGCATTCCATGCAGGAAACTGAGCTCAGATCACGTGGC